AGTCGAACCTCGTCTGCCGGAATTAACTGGTACGCAAAGACCCTTGACCGTGACTTTCTCGCAACTCGAAAGCTTGACCGACTAAAACGGCCAGAGTCAACAATGACTTCGCCCACAAACCTTCACAATACACGTGCCATGGCCGTCAAGAGCAAACGAGTCAGCTAAATTCGGTAAGCCTGACTCCGCGGGCCGCTGTAATACTAAACCGAGGTCACACATAGCCCAAACCCAAATATCACCTCGCGTGCGTGCTCGAAGAAAAGAATTAACAAAACAAGCATCCACTCCAAAAACAAAAACCAGCTTAAAAAAAAAGAAAAAAGAAGCACACTATTTCGAACGCCATGGAGGTTACAGCAATACCCCCTCCGCAACCTTCTGGGCATCCCAGTCGATAAGCGGGGTCCGACCAACAATACAACGCGAGAAAAATAAAAATATCCCGAAAAATACGCTGGAATATCGTCATAGCGACTCATTTAGTTTTCCTGGAATTCCTTCAGGAAATCGGGAAGTAGATTCTCGTTGAAGTGGGCGGGACTTTCACGTGCCCTGTTCCGTTAGAACCTAATCATTTGAAGTGGTTCGTTTTGAGCCGGTTCATGTATAGAACCTGGCTGTCAAAATGGGACATGCGCAGGACGCAGGCCTTGTTAAGACGCAGGCCTTGTCGCTAATCACGTCAATCTAAAGTACCATTTTAAATATGTGGGAAGTTCGCAAGATCGAAACAAGACCGTGCTTCGTTGTGCGAAGTTTTATTAATAACAAAGGATTGCATTCTTACGCCTGTAGTATTTCTTGCTTGATAGGGCAGTCTGCACCTATTTTCACTTCAGGTGCGAACAAAGTCAAAGCTAGAAGCGCGAGCCGTGTACGCGCCAACTTATACGTTTTTGAATCGCACACGAAATTGTGCAGTGCATGCGGGCATTCAATTCTGTCTGCACGCTTGTGTTTTAAGCTTCGTCTTTGTTTGCACATAAGGCGAAACGAAGTATAGACCTTTTCAGGCAGCTGTGCATGGACGCGGCTATAACTGACCTTCGCTTTCTGTTTTCATTTTTTCTGTCCAATTCACTTCATTACTGTGGTCCCCAGGCCACGTTACTGAAAAAACAAGAACGCTGTGACCATACCGTTCTTGATTCCGAAGCAGGCCCCTTATGCGTTTGTCACTGCTTATTTCAGCGTCTGGGCACCTCAGCCGTACAACAGAAGGTGAGTAATGGCGGCGCGAATCTGGCGCGCGCTAAAAAAGACTATGAACGCTGTTAGAAAAAAGAAAAGGGAGTCTGCTTGGTGATATTGTTAGAGCAGACCGCCCGTATAGTGGGGGCAAACACACACAAATAATCATGTCCAGGAGGAATATTTTCATGCATTGCATGCACTGAGGCCTATCTTAAAGAGAGAGCGAGCGAGAAGGCAAGAAAGAAAAAAAAGGAGACGAACAAAGCACATTCCTTGTATGGTGGACAGCACAAAATTCCCACGTGATGCCGAAAAGGTCAATTGCACAGTGCACGGCAGGTGCACGCAGGCGCAGCCCTTCCACGTATGGTATGGCAGCACAAAACGCGTCCCTCATACGCCTTTCCTATGAGTCGCCACAAGGTCTTCAGTGCGACGTCAGCCTTTGCTGCCGCGCCCGCGACCCGCGAGCTGGGAATGATCGAGGGACCCTGACTTCCCCTTTCTCCTCTCCCTCTTACAAATAGAGGGTGGTCTGACTCTGGTCGCCCCACCGGCCGGCATTGCAGCTGCAGCAGCCCCTTTCCCCAGACTGCACCTTTCTTAGAAACGTTCCCACCCCAAGGTCAACCACATTCGTTCCAACAAGAAAAGAAAAAAAAAAAAAAGCTTCAGGCACTTTGCTTTGCAGTTTTCAGATCCAAATATAGCACATTCTGTTTTACTTCAAAAGAGCAGTTGAACGCACAATCTCAACGCGTAGTCACTCAATATCATCTCACGGGCTCAAGTAATATCACGGAGTCATTTGATATCACCTCACGAACTCAGATCACGGAGACACTCAAATCATCTCACGGACTCAGTCATATCACGGAGTAATTATATGTCACTTCACGAACTCAAACTCATATCACGGAGTCATTCAATATCATCTCACGAGCTCAAACTGGTATCACGGAGTCATTCGATATCATCTCACGAACTCACTCATATCACGGAGTCGTTCGATATCTCACGAGCTCAAACTCATATCACGGAGTCATTCGATATCATATCACGAACTCAGATTCATATCACAGAGTCACTCAAATTCACTCAAAATCAGGCAGTGAGTGTGAGTGAGCGTGAGTGAATGAGTTCGTGAGTGAGTTTGCCGAGGTATGGTTGCGCGTGCCTAGTGCATCGGCGCTCCTTACGCTACTTTTAAAACATGAAGGGACTTTGACTAGTAGATCCCCTCAGTGCCCCCTAAGCAGCCCGGATGAGCAACATTGTCTGCTACATCCATGGGCGTCGGCAGGATTTTGTCTTGAAAGGGGGGAGGGGGGGGGGGGGGGGGGAAGGACAGGGCAGGCAGGCAAACTGACAGTTCTTTTTGGGCATGCGCACTCAAGGGGAAAAGGGAAGGGGGGGGAGGTCCCACAGTAAAATACAAAAGGGCTAAATACAGCTTGCAAGATACACATATTTTTTATGAAGAAAGATTTTTTTTAAAAAGTACAATGCATCAGTAATTTCAACGTAAAAAAAAAAAGCAAAACATTTTTATAGGTATGTACAGGCACAGGAAAAAAAAAAAGGTCTATGTCGCAGCAAAACAACAAAACAGCCCACTTAGTTTATAATTCTCTCGAGATAAAAAAGCACAAAGATTTTATAGACAAGTATTGTCATCATAAATGTACCGTACGTAATAAAATAGCAAGACAGTGCACGCAAGTTACACGCACTGTCTTGCATGTGACTTGCAAGTCACAGCAATGAACAATACCCTTTTTTTCCATACTGAACAATATTTGATGTTTGTACAAGTCTTTTAAAGCTACCCCAAGTTGGCCTCTGCTCAAATTTACAACTCTAATTTTGTGCACAAAATTGTCTTTGCTCGTAATATTAATTCGAAGCATTTCCCGGGTTGTGGTCCGTGGAAGACACCTGAAAGCTGTGATAGCTGTGTTGGAAAGCTAGCACAGCGGGGCTACCACCGGAGGGTTAGTTGCCATTGTAACTTTCCATATTTCCTCGACGTGGGTTCCCTTAGCTTGCCATGGGGCTCGTGCTCTGTCTCATTTCAGAACTTGAGTAAAATTTTAGCCCGCTGGTTCTTATCTTTATATTGGTTGTAATATATCTGATCAAGCTCAGCTTTGCATAAATACTCCAGTTAAAGAGAAGTTTGACATACCTGTGAGAGTCGAGTTGAAGGCAAAGCCAATGCTCAGCTGGCTCTTTAAATCCGGAAAATGAACGGGAGTGACGGAGACAGCTGGTGCATCGATAGATTCCGGGTCATGGCACGGCTCTGAGGTCACATACTCCTTCGTTGCAAAAGATGGATTGTCATGATCACTGTCAGCTTTCCGTTTAAAAAAGCTTCCGTCATTTTCACTCCTGACCCCCCATATCATCCCACGGTTATATGAAAAATTGGGATTGGGTGCGGAATGTGGCCCTTTCAAGCAACTGGGCCAGGAAGAGAGAGCCAGCAACAGCAACGTGTGCCACCCTGTCACAGATATTCGAGTAGTCACAAGTGTAAACATGGTGGTGCCAATGAGGACGGTCCGACACTTCTCTCCTGCGTGAGTTATGGCCCGGGGGAGTATCGTTGTTGACATGGTGCGAACAGTTTCACAGAACTGCATTGTCCAAAAGAGGACGCCTGGCCCCGATTTTGACTCCCCCCTTCTCCTTTCCCATGACCGTTAAATGCTACGGGCGAAGGAGAGGAAAAACCCGAAGGCACATATACAAAACAGAGCACTGGCGTGAGCAGTGGCGTAGACAGGGGGTTGGTTTGGGGGGGTCGAAACCCCCCCAAAATGCCAAAGCTACCCCCCCCCCCCCTCCCTCCCCCCCCCCCCCCCCCCCCCCCCCCCCCCCCCCCCCGGCCCCCTTTTCCACCTGGGGCCCGCTCGCTCCACTCCTTACGCAGACAGAGCGAAGGGGAGTGCGGACTATCTCCAACTCGTAGCTATGCAGATTTGTTTTGTTGGGCTTTTTGGAAGAATCCCGCTCTGTGTAGAAGACTCTCTGTTTTTTGGGCATTTTACCGAATTTCACCCAAATGCCTGTAATTCCTCACAACACAAAACTGCAATGTTCTCAGAAGTGTTCCGTTTCTTCTTTTTTTTTTTTTGTTGTTGTTGTTTTTGCCAGCTGGGCGCGGCTGATCGCAACTGACCGAGGGGAGACCTTATTCTTTTTTGTGTTTATTGCTGAAGGGTCCAAAAGGAAACAAAAGTGCATGGATTTTATTTTTAGGATAGCTTTCGGTTTCTCTGTTTGATAAAAAAAGCTATTTTTGCGATGTCATTTGATCCCCCGTACCCGAGAGAGCTGAGGAAGGCTTCAGTCCAATGCGAAAGTCGCCGCGCCAACAGTGGAGCCTAAAGAGATCCGTGTGGCTGGATTCGTTTAAGCTCTTTCGAAAATAGTTTGTTATACTGAATACGCTAAATATTCCAGAAACCACGGATAAATTTCATAACTTAGCTAATCATATTAATAGCTTTATTAATATTGGCAATTTCAGTGATGTACCGAAATATTGACGATACAGTATCGAGTATCCGTATCCGAAATCAATTTAAGGTTATGTATCTTGTATCGGAAATACAATTTTTGAGAGTAAGGGGTATCGGTATCAAAGATACATTTTTTAAGTATTGTGCCCAGCTCTGAAACATAGCTGTAATCTTTTGCAGTAAGAAGTATACAAGCATGATCAACAATAGAAGCAATAAATTTTGCAGCTGTCCGAGTGGCAAGCAGATCATGCTGACATAAGAACACCAGAGTTCCTGATGTGGATACAGCTTTATTTAGAACCTTCTCGCTTCCTGTACACTTTTTACAATGAGATTAGCTGTGTTCCCACAGACTAAATGCCTCAGAGGCTGTGATGAAGAGGCTGGTATGAATATGAATGTCATGTCAGTGAATCCAAGGGTCGGTGAGCAGCCTCCGAATCACGTTTACAAGTGATATCTCCTTTTGAGGTCAACAGTCATCACAGTAGGGGCATCACACAATGCAATCAAGTCGGCTGTTGCTTTCCCGTAAAGACCACTGCTTTGACAAACCTGCACAATATGCCAACTCCGTCTCACATGTTAACACTGCAATTCCCAATGCACAACAGTAACACATGCTACATGGCGCAATCAAGGTCTTGCACTGATCCTGGATGGTGAACCCTCTAGCAAAGCGGTCACAACTCTATCGGCATTGAAAAATTTGGAGGGCGGCTTGAATACAACGGCAGAGTAAACCTCTCGCTCAGTGAGCTTCTAGTCAATCTCATCTCGTCCAATAACAGTTTCCACTTCAATCGCAAATACATACTATAGCACATAGTCCTTTTGTCATACTACCGCAGGGAGTATTTCTGGTAACGGAGTTGTTTACACTTTGTGGCACCTTAAAGGCTGACGTACAGCCTCGGTTTTCTGCAGGGAAGATAATCCTCATCGTCCTCCTCTCCTAAACTGCAAGGGGAGCCGTGTTGAGGCAGGGGAAAAAATGGAGGATATAGGAAAGGAGGAGGCAGGTAAAAAGGAAAGCGCGAAGTGTACGTCACCCTTTAAAACCCGACGTATCGTTTTCCGTACGACAAAAACCAGTCCCGTTTCCTTTCATGCTCCCACTCCTCCTCTTCGAACAGAGTGAAAACGGGACAGTGGTTTCTTCCTTTCTGGTTGTTGGGCATTAAGTGTAAGTGAAACTGAAGTTACAAGCCCAAGCACATTGCCTTGAATGCTTGCACAGCACAAGTGTGCAAATACAGCAGTTAAGCTCGAAGCACAAGGTTTTCACTTGTAGCTCTGGCTTCGCTCGCACTCAGTTAAAAAACCACTGAAAGAAAAAAAAAATTTAGTGGTTTGGTTGGAACTTGCGTGTCAAAAAAATAATTTTACGCGAAAAAAATTAATTTTTTAGAGCAATATTGACATTGCAAAATGCGATTTAGTCGGTAGTCACCTCCTTTCCACTCGTTTTCTCTCTTGGCATTTCAGGCACGTGGAGGAGAAGTGGATTGGCTTCGCCTTCACGTTGAGGTGGAAAGAGCAAATGACCATTGCACGACGTCATGGACTTTTCGCACAAAATTACAAATAAATCTCGCCGTTAATATTGCTCTTAAATATTTTTTTTTTTCGTGTAAAGTTTATTTTTAGACAAGCGTGTCCACCAGACTGTTAAAAAAATTAACAGAGTGTAATTTAAATAAGTGAACCAATGTCGCAGAATCTAAGTTTTTTCCTCCGTTAGTTGTATCTCCAGACATTGTCTCACCGTTGTGCGAGAAAAGATTATCCACAAGTCGCCACCCCCTTTGACAGAGACCTTTCTTCAGAAGTGAAGCTAACATTTCACCCGAGCTCTTTCTTAAGCTCTTTGTACGGATGCTACGGATAGCAGCAAGACCCACTGCATTGGTTGTACTATAGCAGAAAAAATGCATACTTTGGGACAGCTGAACGTGATTCCTAGAAAAATTTAATGCACAACCTTGCTGCAAGTAATGACTAAAAACTGGATGTTGAAGGCACCACAGAGTTCTTTTTGAGGCCTAAAATATGCACCTAAAAGTTCTGCAACGGACAAGGTCAATAGGCATTTATAGAGACTTATGGAAAATCAGTGGGACTTGAAACCTGCTGTCCAACAAAGGAGGACAAGGTGAAATGTTGTTTGAGGGCAGCAACATCTACTATTCTCCTAACACTATTTTCTTCTTCTCCTCTTTGACTAGAGGTTCTAGTGTTGCCAAACCTACCAACTGTCCACAATGCTCTAAAATGCAGATTGCTCGTACCCATCAGATAACTTCCAACGCAACCGTGAAGCTTTTAAAACTGACCTCCATAGTGCCTCAACATCCAGCCTCTAGTAATGACAAGTGGATGGGGTGAGGAGCAATGACACTATCTTGAGCACTGGGTTTCATGTTATCACGGTGCGAGTCTGGAAGTATGAACCATGGAAAAGGAGATGAGCCAAAGAGTCCAGCAACAAGGGCCATTGGAGTATGACAAAACCCACCGGCAACAAGCTCTCGTTCACAGCGCGTACAGAGGTTTTGAGGTTGCCACACCGCACGGGCCAGCCCCGCGGCACCCGCAGCGACGGGATGCCACCGATACTAAAACAACGGGGAGGGATAAGCACGGGAGCAAATGAAGTCACACTGGGTGGTTACCACAAAAAGCACACAGGCAGCGAAACGAGACCGTAGACGCCGACACAAAATAAACCAAGGTTGAAAGGCACACACCGAGCACAGCCGAGGCTGGCAACCAACAAGATGCCAGGTGGGATTGCTCAGAGCAGAGGCTCTGGACAGGCCACATCCGCCAAAAGGAATGAGACGGCCCTTCAACCGCACTCCCAAACCACCGTGACTAGAAACCACTAAACCCGATAGGAAGCCATCGGCCGCATTGTCCCAGTCGTGCGGCAAACGGTTCCGGCAAACAAAAATAGAGGTATGTACACGCATCTCTATACATTAGTGTGTCCGGGACGACCCCCGAAGCGTACCCTGTAGTGTTGCAGACTCGCTTTGCAGCCTCTCAGAGAAGTGCCAGCTCCGGCGGCAGCTCCTGGCAGGCCGCCGCCTCGAGGGTGGCCTGGCGAATGGCCTCCTTGTAGGGGCCCCGTTTCTTCTTGTTGTAACGGCTCTTGAAGTCGTCCAGGAAGGGGCTCAGCTGCTGGCAGGGCATGTATGACGAGGTGGATGACCCGAACCAGGCCACGTGCGCTTGCTGGTTGATGGTGGCTCCATTGTCGCGCTGCGACACGCTCAGCGCGAGCACCTTTCCGGGCCACCAGGGGAAGCCGTGGATCTTGCCCCAGACGATGTCGCCCACTGCCATCTCGCGGCCGCCGTCCAGTGTGCACCGCTTGACATTGTGCGTGCTGATGCGCATCATGAGCGGCTTCACCTTGTCCATCTCACGCAGGGGGTCCAGCTTGGGGAACTCAGGCACGTCGCCACACTCGCTGCCCGACCCGCTGCTCGCCAGCAGGTCGTCATACTTGGGGCTGCAGCGCATGTAGGCCTTGGCACCCAGACGGCGCAGGCTGATTGACAGCTTGTGTGAGCGGCCCTCGCCCAGGAAGCCCTCGGCGGGGCCCTCGTCCAGCCCGTAGCTCGGACTGTTCTCCACGTCGTTGCGTGGCTCGTCGGGCTCCCGGTGGCGCCGCTTCCGCTTCACCTTGTGCTTGTGGTGCTTGTGCTTGGCGAGGCTCGGGGAGGCCAGCAGCGGGCTCTTGTGGTGGTCGCGCCGTGCCTTCTTCAACGCCTTCTTGGCTGCACGTGTGCTGCTCGTGTCGCGCAGTCCCACGCAGTCCATGCTGCTGTCGCCGTCTGTGTCGCTCGGCCCCGTCAGCTTGGCCGGGATCTTGACCACGGTGCCCTTGCCCTGCGGATTGGCAAACGAGATCTTGATCACGGGGCTCGTCTTGGTGAGTGCGGCGCGAACAAGCTTGCTCTGGGGCCGGGCCAGCTCCACAAGGCCCGAACTCCTACCAATGTCATCGGCGTCGGTCCACTTGCGCTTGCGCAGAATCATGCGGTTGACGGCCGGCGGCACCAGCGCAACCGCCTGGTATTCGCTCTTCGACTGGAACTCCTCGGCACCGGCCGGCAGCTGGGCGTTCTTCAGCTCCAGGCTCTCCGCCATGCTCGCGTACACCGTCCTCGTCGGAGATTCCTCGGTGCGCGGGGAGGGCGACGTTTGCATGATCATGACGTCCTCGTCGTGGGCGACGCCACTCTTGGGCGGGAGACGCGCCTCCGGCTCGCACTTGGGCATGGGCAGGCAGGGGCTCACCACTGGCAGCGCCTCCTTCTTCAGGCTGCCTAGCTGCACATTCTCAGAGTTCTCATTGCAGATGGCCCGGCAGTGGGAGCAGAGCACCTGGCGCGGACGTAGGCGGCGCATGCGGACGCTCTGGTCGCGGCTGTTGCGCCCCGTTGTCTTGCGCGACTTGGCCCAGGAGCGGCTAGACATCTCGTCGCTCGGCTTCTCCTGGAAGTATGTGTGCCTCTGCTTCAGTGCATGGAACTTGTCCCCCTTCTCGAGAGCCGCTTCGCCCAGCGTGCCCTCGGCTCGTGGCTCCTGGCCCCCCGTTGGGCCCCAGGGGCTGATGCCGAACGGGATGTTTCTGGAACAACAATTCCCCGGACGTCTATGTGACAACCGCACCACCAATTCACGAGCGCCGAATCGTTGCAAAGCGCAGCTGAACGCGCAGTCTGAACTTAACAAATCACTGATATTGCAACAGGACCCTTAGTAAAACAAATGTGAGAAAATCTATTGCCAGCCCCTGGGCAGACTTCCAGTGGCTGAGTAGCTACCAAAGCAGCAATGCATGTTTTGTCCCCTTTGTGCAGTCATTTATTCACCACACCGTTTCACTGCTTTCCGAGCTCGGAACTGGAGTAACGTAGGAACAATAATTATGCTGAAAACAGCTGTAACTCTAGAATCTAGAAAATGGTTTCTATTAACCCTCCAGCTGCTTTCTGCGTTTAGAAAACTTACCCTTAACTGCTCATTTTCCCTTAAAGCCCAACCTACAAAACGTTTTTCCGCAAAGTACGAAAATCCTCCTCACCACCCTTCCCAATTCCCCCTCGCTCACTGCTATCTTCACGGCTGGCTCCTTTTGTTCCTGCAAGTTGGGGCTAGATAAGCCAGGATATGCTCCAGGCTTATCCTGTGAGAGGGGTAAATGTGAAAGGGGGCGGCGAGGAGGAATTTCCTGCCCTGCGGAAAATGATTTTGTAGGTTGGCCTTTAACAACTTTTAATTTATGCGCGATTTAGCATGTGCAACACATTCCAAACATTCTAGCTCGGTGAGCGTAGCTGATTCGGCAAACACGAGCCATGCTCACTGCAAATGTATCATTCACTTCTAATGAGGAGGCATATAACAAGGTACTGCAGCTCCCCAGGCCCTATGTATTTCCAATGGGAACTTTTTGGTCCGACCCCTCAGCAGCCACTGGACAAATGGACTTGGGGATGGTTTTATTAAATTAAAAAAACAATTTGCAGCACGGTTGCACATTTCCCAGTTTTGAGGCTAAAGATTTTCTATCGGAGGTTGAATTCCTTCAAACTGTCTCCTTTTTCAAACTACCATTCATGAGCACTTCTGAAGAAAGCAGAGGCACTAATACATTTTCTGGCACTGCGTTGCGGAAGGTAATTTCTTTCTTGACATGTCTCCAACAAAATTTTCGTTTTATGCATTTCAATAGGGAACTAGCAGGAACAAGTTTGCACTCCAGTGAAAGTCCGAAAATTGCCTTCCTTGATGAATTTTATTGTCTATCCCGAGGCTCCTTCTGTGAGCAACTTTGCATAGTTATTTTACAATCGAGGTCATCTTGTCTTAGAGCAGAGGGACGGACTATTTGCATTATCCCGTTGCTTTCAGTCGTGTTCAAGGTTTTGGGGTGCATGTTTCACGGATTATATATATATATACACACACACACACACACACACACACACACGGTGTTTCAGAAAACTCAGGCCAAATCGCTCCTGCAAAAACTACTCATCGCAACGAAAAAAGGCTTGTGTCGTTTTGGTCCTGGGCCAGGGGCCCAGGACCAAAATGGCCAGGGGCCCATTTAGGAAAATTATTAAAGTCCGAGATAATTAAGTTGTTAATTATTTTTGCGTAATTAACTTTTTTAATATTGTGTTTAAGGGCATGGTTTCAATTAGAAAACTGTTCAGCATCGTCGAAAAACACTAAATCAACAAATTGCGCAATGATAGAAGGCACACGAACCATTTTACGGCTTTCTGAAAAACCGCACAATTTCGACGGGTTTTTAAGTTTCGGTTTGCTATCGGAGCGCACCTGGACCCCGGCGGCACCGCGCCCCATGGAGAGATAGTGCAACCAACCTCTGCTGCGCTGTCATCGCGCGACGCCAGCAGAGGCTGGTCGCACTATCTCTCCACGGGGCACGGCGCCGCCGGGGGCCCAGATGCGCTCCGATAGCGAACCGAAACTTAAAAACCCGTCGAATTTGTGCGGTTTTTCAGAAAGCCGTAAAATGGTTCGCGCGCCTTCTATCATTGTGCAATTTGTTGATTTAGTGCTTTTCAGCGATGCTGAGCAATTTTCTAATTGAAACCATGCCCTTAAACACAATATTAAAAAAGTTAATTACGCAAAAATAATTAACAACTTAATTATCTCGGACTTTGATAATTTTCCTAAACGGGCCCCTGGCCCAGGACCAAAACGCCACAAGCCTTTTTTCGTTGCGATGAGTAGATTTCGCAGGAGCGATTTGGCCTGCGTTCTCTGAAACACGCTATATATATATATATATGGGCGGTTTCATTTGGATTCAGGCAACGAATGGCAGTCATATTTTTTAATTTGCTTTAAATTTTTATATTTCGTGGCGCATGTTCCGAGAAGAACAATCCTTTTTATTTTAATGTCCTGACATGTTTAATTTTTGAGGGAAAAAAAAAAAAAAAAAATCTCAAAGAAGTGGGAAAGAACGACGAGGTTTTGAAGATTGTCGTATGTAACGTGTTTGAATCACTCGCAATCTCGAAGTATTCAGAAGAGAGTGTCTATATTTTTTTAGCGTGATATATATGCAAGTAGATAAAACGGCATTATAACTACTATTTATCATTCGTCGTCTCAATCTTTGTAAAAATCCCCAAACATGCCTCCGCGAACAACTGTGACCTAAATTGCGGATTTTTTTTTTTTTTTTTTTTTGAGTCTACTATGTTTAGTATTACTTTTAAAATAATACCACGTGTAGAACCTTTCATTGCCTTCTAAATTAAGCGAAGTTTGTGTTTTTTTATCATGTACGAGTACTAAGAAATAAATTATGAAACAGAGAGTGCTTTCACTTTTTGTTCAATTTCAGCACGCTGTATAAAAAAAAAAAACATTTTTATTATTTTTTTTTTTCTTACGTTGCGTTTTTTTCACATCTTTCTTTTAGCCAGAATACATTTCGTTAGAAGTATTTGCCTTGGTTTCGAGTCTTAAGCCTCTAAATATGCTGAAAAAGGGCAAATGCCGATGGTGGGTTTTGACGATTTTCGTGTGTGGCGTTTTTGAACCACTCTCAATCTCAAAGTATTCAAAAGAGCATCTATATTTTTTTAGTGTGATACATATGCAAGTAGGAAAGGCCACATTATAACTACTATTTATTATTCGTCGCTCCAATCCTTATAAAAATCCACAGACGTGCCTCGGCAAACAATTGTGACCAAAATTGCGGATTTTTTTTTATCGACTATGTTTTGTATCGCTTTTAAAATAATACTACGTGTAGAACCTTTCATTGCCTTCCAATTTAAGCAAAATTAAGCAAAGCGAAAAGAATATATATATACTTTTGTTTTTTTTGTGCGGGGGGGGCGGGGGGGGGGGGGGGGAGGGGGGCAAGGGGTTAAGTTTAGGGATGTGGGCAGAGCTGCCAGTAAATCATACAGTCGTCATATTCACAAGAACCGCGTGGCGAAGCGTAAAATTGGCGATGCAATTCTTCTTTTTGTTTAACCTTTTTTCTGTTGTTTTTTTCGGTGTAATGCTGTTTATTGTCTGCTCAAGTCAGCAGCATAGCCAGGAAGTTTTCCGTGGGGGTGGAAGTGGGTGGGCTGTCCATGACTTGAGGTAAGTGGGTGGGGGGGTGGGGGGAAGAGGGAGAGGGGGAGGGGGAGAAGAAGGAAGGAAGGAAGGATCTGAAGCCCCATAAGCATTTCTCAGGCTATGCTACTGGCTTGAGTCTGTCTTTTTTTTTCTTCATTGTTTCATTGTTTGTGCCATTGTCGTCTTGTTTGCTCAGGGCTCGCATTATATTTTATCCGAGTAGTCCTGGCATTGCGCCGCAGTGGCAGTAAGCGATGTTTGTGGCAAGGTGTCGGAACACAATGAAAACAACCGAAAAACTAAAAAGAACAATATTTTTAGGCAGAATGAAAACATAATCAAAACATCATTTAATAGTTTGTTCTGAAGTGAAGCTGAAAATATTTTTTTAGCAGTTTTCGGTTCAAGAGGAAAGTTCAGGTATTTCAGTATCTTCCGGGCCCATTAGCTCGAAGCCAATTAACTTCAACCGCTGTAAAAAGTTAACCGCATTTCCATACGAGGGAGAATTTTAGGACACGTAACCAGCAGAGTAGGGACGGTGGGGAAACATGGCGGTGCGCCTGTGAGCGAGCGCCATTCGCTCTGGAACTAATATGTCATAATAGCTGCAATTTTGGGCGTGTTAGTCAGGAATGAATGGTGCAGGAGGCTTTCGCTTCGCCTTACCTCACTTAAATCGCAAAGCATAAGCAATGACCTCGCCACATTTTTTAGATAGTCCCTCGATTCTGGCCCTTCCTAAGTGATAATTGTCGGCATGGCGAAGTCTTTGAAATAAAATAGTGGATTGCCTTGACTCAATCGGCCAGGTATGATAGCACGCAGAAGCAGACAGAGTCCCAATAGACCTTTTGCTAAATTTCCTAAGCACCGAGGTGCATGCTACAAGTGTAGTTACACATGCTGCATGTGCTGGCATCTGCAGCAGTAACTGTTCTAAAGTAAAAGCCTAAAACATATTTTGCCTTGCACGTGCGTTCGTCCAAGCCTTATTATGATTATATATGGGGAAAGCCAGCGCGCGCAGAGCGTAGAATTACACTTCCAACATTCTTTTCGATGTTTAGGGAATTTCGTAATCGGTCTATTTTCACCGGAGCCGAATTACATGGTTTCCAATTCACGATGGTGTTTTATACAGTTCTTACATGCTGGCCAACTATGCTGTCAGTGTACCACCCGCCTTTCACTGCTCACTTCTTCCTCGTCATTTCTAGGACTGAACTTCATCATCCTCTTTTGAACTTAGGAGGAAATTTCAACGAGGGTTGTCTTCAATTCAGACTGCCAAAAATTGAGAAATTACCCAAACAAGGGTTAATTTAGTTTTACCTTACCCAATACCTGTACCACGAGCACCAAAAAGTGTTTCTTCACCTCAAATGTATGCCGCGCTGCATCGCGAAAACCTGGGTCACCCCCTTTTCGGGAACTTTTCCACGAAAGCCACCAATATTTGCTACAACCAATACGTGACACCAGCTACCAACCCATAAT